ATTATTATTGACAGGCAGGTGCATCTTCTCGTGCTTCTTTTGTTCTTCTAAATATTCCTTCACCTTCTCACCTGTCCCTTATTTCGATATTGTTGTGTTCTTGTTTCACAGAAAAGAGTGTGCACAAAGTACTCTTTGAGACACGTCAATACACAAAAGCACTCATGTGTTCGCGAAGTATGAAAGAAAATAAAAAAGAACTGAATAAAGAGCGCAGAGTATTGAAACTATCGGCCTCTTGAGACAGAAATCCCACCCAGCCTTTCTACGATAATTTTCGTTTGCTCTAATGGCTCCAGTTTTGTTTTGGATTCGCCTCACTTTTGGGGTTTTGTTTTGCTTCTTTTAGAAGAAGGAGAAGCAAAATAAAGCAGAACTGGAAGACTCTCCAATCCTTCAATTTACTCTTTTCCGCTAATGAATATCTTTCATTTTCCCCTAGTAACTTTCCTTTCTTCTTGCCCAAGTCTACAGTTGTCGCCAATTATATTTTTATCCCCAATCGATAGTGCTGCATGTGCTCGCTAATTTTATTGATGAATCGCCGTGGGCCATGGAAGTAAGAAAAGCGTGAGCAGGGGGATAGAATTGTTATGTCGGAAGTGGATGAGATGAGGGTTGTGGGGGTGGGGGATGAAGAAATGATATTTGTGTGTTGATAGAGAAGGAAGGATGAGTGGACGGTGCTATGGTTGGAGATAGTGAGCAAGAGAGAGACAGGGACAGAGAGAGAGAGAGAGAGAGAGAGAGAGAGAGAGAGAGAGAGAGAGAGAGAGAGAGAAGGGGGGGGCAGAGATGCGAGGATCGTACGTTGAAAGAGACTAATGCAATTTACATCTGTTTAAAGGTGAATCAATTATCTAATCTCTCTGTTGAGTGAGGAAGTAAAGGACCACAGAATAGGTATTGTGTTTTGGAATGGGACCTTTCAAACTCTATGAAAGGATGATGCTAATATGATAGGAACTGACATTTTGAGGGCAATGTGGAGTGAAGTTGATACGGTTTAGTTTTCCTGGCGTAGAATACATTGTATCTTTGATTCGGTAAAAGACCCATTGTTGGTGAAAGAAGGCAGGACATTTTCGTTAATGACGAAGATACAAATGTGTATGGAGGCCAAAAGAATGGATCTTGTGTTGGATTGTTTCCTGAGTTGAATGAAGAATAAAAGACGTTTGGTTGGAAGTCCATGAAGGACCTTCTGTTTATTGCCGACTATCATTGTTGTGTGTGTGTGTGATGTCTCGGTCAGAGTTAATGAAGAAGTTGAGAAGTTGTTGTACACATGTTTGTGAGCGATGGGGTATTGTCTTCTTGCAATTCTCGTCCGCGGCGTCTAAGCTTGTTGTTGTGGTTAGTGGTTTGTACGTTTTGATGTTGTGTGGCTTAATGCAGTGACCTCTATTGTGCTCTGGTAATTACTTTCGCTTTGTTGACAAAGTGTTAGATGCTTAAGTCGTTCATGTTGCAGATTGTCTTTGGGTTGGTTTCGGTCGACTTGTTTTGTTAGTTTTTTTGTGATGTCATGCTGGGCTGCGGTGCTGATTACTTTGGATTGAATCCCTCAATAGACTGTTCTTGTTCTTGGGTTGTTTAGACAGTATTAATTTTGAATCTCTATCCTTTGCTCGGTCATATCTAACATAAACTTTACTCCAGAACACCGCCCCTTAGATAGGATTTCTGGGTTGAAAAGATCTAAATTTAGTTGTTTTTTTAAACAAGACGTAAGGTTTTGTTTGAACATGCTCTTGGCGGTAGTTAGTTCACTAGCATGGCGCCTTTGGCCGGCCGACAAGGGGTGTTCCTAATGGAAACTTTTCCTGTAAAGAACCTGAGGACGTTTTACAGTATGTCGATCAGGTCTGTGTACGAATTCGTCTCAATGGATCTGGCTTTTTATTGCTGTTTTAACATTATTTTATTGTTCCTGTGCTTTTTTGTTGTTGCTTTTTGGGGGGGAATAATTTTGAGTTGACATTTTCTGACCTAAGTGGAATCACCCCTATGTCTGTTCTCAAAATTCTCAGATTAAAAAAAAAAACACCCAAAAATTGCATACGTTGAGACTGGCTTCCTGCACAGTCACTTCTAAGCGCCTCTCATGTGTCAATTGTGCCTATGGCTTCCATCGTGTCCAGGGCAAGTCGCTTTTGTTCCTACATACCGACGGGGACTCGAGGTTAAAAAAAAAATGTCTTCCGCAACTGAATCAAACTCGCACTTTTGCATGGACGGTGAAGAATCTAACCTTTTCACCACCGCCATCGATGCTGTTGGATATTGCTCGTAATCGATAGTTTGTCTTCACTTCGCTGCCGCGACCTGATGCTGACTGCATTTCATAAGACTCACCTTTCTAATCCGTGAGTCATCAGCATCCAGAATAGTTTTTGCTTTGAATTCCGAAGCGAAACTACTACTGTGCGTTGAGGGTTCGGGCACGGGTGAAGGAAGAGGGGGAAGTGACTGACGATGTGGATGAGCGGAAAATACATGTATGGGAGAGCTGTGAAAATATCAGTGATTGGGAGATTTCTGTCGGCCACACAACTCAACGTCCAACTGGTTCCAGGCCGATGTTTTATAACCATAGCTTTATAAAAAATATGCATTGTTGATCGTCATTGGCGCGTATAGACGCAGGAACTTTTCGTTCTGGAGTGCGCCAACTGTTCGCTGTCTGGCCAGCCTGGCCGGTACCCATAGGAGACCGTATCAAAGTCTCGTTATTTTTGTGTGCGTTAATGTCGAGATCAAAACCTGTCCCAAAACACTGAAGTGGCGGTATGGTTCTCTCTTTCTCTCTCTCTCTCTCTCTCTCTCTCTCTCT